TTTTTTTTTAATTCAGTGGGGATTAAAAGTTGCTAATTTTCGAAGAAAAACTTCACTTTTACTTCATAGCCTTCTCCAAGTGACTGTCATATTTTAGGATTCGCTGACACCTCTCCATCTAGCCGCCCGAGAAGGATTCCTTGATATCGTGAGGGTACTTTGTCTTGCCAGATCGAATGTGGCCAGGAAAACTAAGGTAAGTACAAGTTTTCGTTTTGGAAAAGAAATATATTTAACAGAAAATAATTGTTTCTCTCCCATCACTAGAAGGGAACCTTTTGGAATAACTGCATGCTGTTAACGCTGATTCTCGCTTACACTCATCGATACCCTTCCTGTTTATTTTTATTTACAGGATGGCCTTACAGCCGAAATATTGGCATTGGCGTCTGAGCATACACATGTGGCATCACTTCTATCGAAAATCAAACAGGTATGTTTTTCGTTTTTTTTGTGAATCCATGCATTACATTTTATTACATTATTGATCGAAATGAAGCAGCAAGTCTGTGACGCTAGCGGTGGCTTGGCGTCTGACGCTTACTGCAACGTCACTGCGCTGCACCGCTTTGAAAAAAATCAATAAAGTACTCATGTAATGTAATCAATGTCAAACAGTACCTGACTATGGTGGTGATTAATTATGATACTTTTGAGAATAATATTAATAGTAATTTTAATAAATGGAAACGTAGTGTGCAAAGAAAAACCACTGAAATGTGAGAAATAACCGAGACGTAACTGACATCTCTTGACAAGAGTAGAAGTAGTTCAACTATTACTAGTCGATCAATAAATTAGTACAGCAGTACTTAGATAGGTTACGAATTAGAGCCAAATTCAAGTTTTTAGGACAATGTTCGCGAAAACTACATCGATCAACTTTGCCCACTTCATGCTCCCCTCAGACGAATCAAGCTGAAACTATTCGGGCATTCACAAACGGGGAAGTCGCGCCTCGTTCAATCCCTACATTCTACACGAGGGATTACTTCGACAATCATCGGTACAGCTGAGCCTTCGTTTGAGCACCTGATCTTGCAGTTAGAAAAAACTTACAACTTCCAAAGAAAGAATAAAAAGAACTTTGCTTCCAGATGCAGTTTCGCGGCGGATTTCCGATCACTATAGTCCGAGCAATACGATGAGTAAAGGTAAGATTTTCCTAACTGTAGTCAATGACTTTTTTTGGGAAACGACCAATCTAGCCTGAGCGATTATGCCTGTATATTAGCTTGGATGGGAATTTCCTGCTACATTAGCTACGTCACATAATCATATCACCGATTAGCCAGGTGTATCGGACTTTTTTTTTGAGGATGCTGCCCAGGATATGATCAGATAAGAAGTCGGGCTCTTTGAATCAGGCTGGTACTAACTGATTGATCATGTCGGTTTAATGNTTTAATGAGAGTTGGATGAATTCGGCCGCCGCCCAGTGACACCTGTTGAGGGACAGGACAATAACCTTGGAAGATCCATGAAGCCATTAGCAGTTCTGCAGTCGTAGAGAAATCAACACGAAAAACTAGATTTATATGACCTTTTGTAGATGATGGAATCCACTCGGGACAAGGCTCATCGTTTTCATCCGAGTCCAATAACAACTCGTCCGAACAGTGCGTTCATCTCGTCCAATGCCCTGCTCATTCCGCATACACCAGAGGAATTGACGTCCAGAACATCAATTGTGCCGGTGAGTACATTTCTTTTTTCTGTATAAACGAAGAGCACTGATTTGTGGATTCGTTTCAGGTTGTGGTGAATTTTCCGTGTGGGAGTTCGGTGGTTATGAGCCATACCATATGGCTTATGATCATTTCGTCGGCAATACCGACTGTATTCATGTGGTCTTATTTAAAGCCACTGATAGTACTGAAGAACAATACAAACAGGTACTGTACTGGATGAACTTCCTCAAGGGACGAGTCACACCCACTGAACCCATCGGTAAGTCGTTTTGAAGGTGAAGAAGCATTTTCAAGCAGATCAACTTTGTTTTGGGTCTGTGTTCATTGATTTATCGTTTTGTCGCTTTTAGGACATTGTGGAATAATTTCGCGACGATCAAAAGTCGTAATCGTCGGAACGCATGCCACCTCAGCACTTTTCCCATCGAAAAATTCTGAAGGTACGGTTCATTTACGCTAAATTTCAAATATAAGCAAAATAAAGGCTTTTGAGTTGTAAGTTTCAGTAATGATGTAAAGTCTGTTTTTAAGCATAGGGTTCCATGTCATTTCTTTGCTGAATCTTTTGAATTATGCGGGTACGCAGGCTAGTTGTAAGTGTCAGCTTTTCTTAAATAATGCCCAAACCAAGTAAAAAGAAAGGAGGTGGGTGATAAAGACTATGTGAAAATGACGAAATAATCTATGTGAATTATCACTTCTTACCGTCCTACTTTTCTTGTAAGTAAGACCCTCTCATTAATAATTAATGTTTTATTACTGGCTCTGATGCGTAAAAGTGAAAGAGTGGGAAGTGGAAGATGTTTGCGGGCTTTTTGGTCATTCTAACCTAGAACTATATGAATATCAACCTAATTCCAGGCGAGTTTGAATCGTCAGATACCGAAGCGATGTTGAAAACGGTACGACTCCGTTTCGAGACTCACTTCGATATCTGTGACAAGCTGCTGCTTCTCGATTCAACCAATCCGTCGTGTGCCGGAATGAAGGCATTGAAGAACTATCTCAAGGAGACCAGAGCTACAATCATTTCGGTTTGTTTCGTTGAATCGTTTGCATATTAATGTGTAATCGCCCTCATCACGAAACGCCAAACATAATTTTTTTCCACTTTTGTGATTATTTATGCAAGTGTTTCCTGTACCAGAGATTGAAAGAATCGGCTTCCTGGAGCAACGAAACCGCACTTCATCACAAGATGCCATTAATTTTACGGCTTGGCCATTTGTTACCGTTTCCTTGGCGGTGTGACAGCTTCAATTTCATGCATGAATTTCAGCGATTACAAAAACCTATCGGACTGCTTGAAGCCACGATGCCTTATCTGCAGTCGATGCGAAAGCAGCATGCCAATTTCCCGGTGGTTTCGTGGCCAACGTTCGCATCGATAGTTCGAACGGATGTGAATCCGCTCACTGGGGATGCACATTGCCGACAGCTCATTCAGCAGCTACAGCTTATTGGCGAGGTTGGGAAGTTTTCAACGATACGGACATTTCTCTTACTGAAGGTCGTAGTGGGACCTGTCTAGATAGGTTCTGGGACCCTTTGAGATAGCGGCATTTTTAGGTAGTCTATTTGCGGGATGAGACGGCTGAAATGGACTATGTGGTTTTGAATCCGGAGTGGCTTGGCACCCATATCATCGGACAGCTTCTCAGTGCCGAATTCCTTTCCAGATGCCGGTAAGTTCTAGCTTGGCAAAGGTGATTCCGTTTTGCAGAATTCAACTGACTTTTATTCTCGAAGCAGTTCTCGTAGATAAGAGTCTGTTTCATGACATGCATTGGTTTGATTCTGAGATGACACGAACCCCATTCCAGAATCAACGGCATATACTCGTTAGAACACTTTGCACCGATATTCCCCGAGATCCCTGAGCCAACAGATCTGCTGCGAATGTTGGATGTACTGCAACTGTGTGCTCCTGCTGAACCAGATTCCGAAGAAACATTCGAATTCCCTGCTTTCATACTTGCTACTGAATCGCCAGATGTTTGGGTCCGTAACAAGTCCACCTATGTCTATGGAGGTGAGCCGTTGGTACATATTCTGACGAATGGAAACGGTGGATATTACGAAGCTACAAAGCGGTAGCTTCACGGTAGAGCCTGCTTTGATCGCATGGGCGACACTACAGCGTGTTATCTTTACTCCTATTTGAGGAGGACTGCCCCTAGCTGTATTAAGCAGCGAAGGCAAACTAAATACGTGGACTAGTAGACAGCGGGGTGACATCACACGGTTCAATCCGTGTGTTCATCTTTGCTTTATCTCTAAATTGTATGTGTTTGTAAATACGACATTGAGCACCCTGTGTAAGGTACCATTTTGGGGAATGCATAAATAAATGACAACGGCGGATCGATGCCGGAAACTCTGCTCATCTCTCTTTTTTCTCTAATCGGCGATAGAGCATAGAACGAGATAAAAGCATAAAAGCGGATCAGAGCGCGATATACACTGGAAATAATCCCGTGGGATTATCTTTTGTTGCTGTTCCGTACTCTAATTCCCAGTTGCCATGGGTTCCCAATCGTTCATGTTTAATCTGATACAGGGGTGATAAACCTAAATCAGCTACATATAGCAATATGAGTAAAATGGGCTGAAAAAAGGACTTCAATTTGAATCGTAGCAGTCATGTTGTTTAGAACAAAATGTTTACGTGTTCGAATCCTCCAAGGAAATTCTTAAACTCTTTCTTTGATACCTTAAAAGATCTTCTCCGCTTTCATAGGTGTTCGTGTTCATCCTATGCGAGGAATGGAGCGATCATTACAAAGCACGTTCCCACGGATTCAAGTGGCACTCCGCCGAAGTATGCATGACTTCCAGGTAGGATGAAATTCCTACCCAAGTTTTCCCGAAATCGATAACTGCCTTTTGAAAAAACACCATCAGTTCCAGGATCCTATGGACGCAGATTTGATCCAGTGGGCTGGCTGTAGTAAGATGTCTTCTGGTCAAATGGAAGCTCTTGTTAGGATACGTGGGGATGCAGTTGAGGTAGGGCTTTGGTTCCGTCGCTTAGCGATACCACCTCAATTCAACTGAATTTTGTAGGTACAAGTCCGAGGACCAGCCGAACGGGCCACTTCTTGTTTCTATTTCCTGGAAGACGTTGTGAACCTGGTAGAACAGACGGCTAGCGAAGTAGCTCCCGGCATTGGTCTTGAGCGACATTTCCTTAGCCCAAAGGCTCTACAGGTATAAATAAAAAATTAATAAATACATCCAAAAGTAGGCGATATATTAGACGTACGCGATTTCTTTGCGGCAAGTTTGATCAATTGATTGATCGGCGCCATATAGAAGAAGTCGCGCTTCTCACAAAACTGTCTACAGGATAAATAAAAGTATGAGTTTCTTTTTAGGAACATCACAAAAATCCTCCTTCATTCCCACC